GCGATGGTTTGGAGAAATCGTCATCACTGGCCAGCTGCGACGTGGTAGTGGACAGCGGTTCCGACGTCCACAATGCGCCCGGCTTGCGGCACCAGCGAGGCAAGCTGTCCACTTTAGGGAGACTCTTCAAACCCTGGAAGTGGAGGAAGAAGAAGAGCAGCGACAGGTTCCAGGATCTCTCCAAAGGTGAGGATTATCTATCGATTTGTTTATTTTTTGTGCTGGTTTGCATCTTCTTCAAGCAGACCGACAGCCTTTGACCTTCGTGTCGTTTGTGCAGTTTTGGAGAGAAAAATTTCAACAAGACAAACGAGAGAGGAGCTCATCAAGAAAGGAGTGCTTGTCCCAGAGCAAGGTTTGTCAGCTATGCTACCGGCGCCACCTACAGGATTTTTATTTTATTTTTTTTAAGGATTGCTCAACATGAATCTGCAAAATGAAACAGGGCTAATATTTCTTCATGTCTTCAGCAGACGAGCCCGTCATCCGGGAAATCCAGAATGGTCACGCCACATCCAGCGTGTCACTGGAGCAGGTCAAGGTTGAGATTGAAACTAAACTGACCCAAGCTGCGGACCCGACTCCTGGTCCTGTGAACACCCAGAACAAAACAGGTGACTTACGTCAAGACGCCAAAAGGAGTTATTCATTTTTTTTGGTTGCTGATCACGATGCGTCCATGCCCTGAAGAAGCAAAGCACTTCAAAACCATGACACTTTCTCCATCGTGATTTACAGTTGGAATGAGGTTTTCTTGGTGTTGTGGTATAGTTTTGCCATAAACTGATTTACATCAAGGTTTTCAGAGACACCTTTGTTTCTAGCGCCTTGCAAATTAACCATTCGTAACTGAAAGTATTCTGAGTGTTCTCCTGTGGAAGACATAGTTCGGACCGGGCAATTCCCCGTTCTGTGCTTTTCACGTTTTTCCTCCTTGTCGCTTCTGTCGGTGCATCACATGTGGAGTTAACGTCATAACACGCTCCAAGAGTTGACAAGAAGACATGACGTTCTCATTCAACTCACCCTTCACTTTCTCCTTTCCTCTGCCTTCATGTAACTCTGTGATTCTCCAATCCCTCTAACTTCGAACCTCCCCGTGTCATCTCTCTCTGACCCGCTCAGAGACGAGTGACATTAAACCCGTCGCCCGGGTGGCTCAGGCACGCCCGCGGGACGCCCAAGCTAGAAAGCAGCACGGCGTCGCTGCTCCCGCCTCCTCCAAGCCTGCAGGCGGCGCTACTGGCGCGGCCAGGCACAGCAGGGACGCCTCGACCAGTGCTAAAAAAACCGCCAAACCATCAGGGAAGTCGGGTTCTGCGACGCAAGTTAAACCTAACTCGCGGAGCTCTAATAGTAGTCGCGTGATCGGTAAGTTTAGCTGATTTGATATTTTTGCATGCCTGCATGGAAGTGTACGCACTCCTGCATGGTTTCTTCGGACTTTTTTCAATAGGTTTTCCTCATTTTTTTTTTTTCATTTCTAGTTTCGTTTGCCTTGAGCTTTTATTTTTACGGTACAGTTTGTAGTGACAGTGCGAGTCATTTTGAGTGTTTTTATGTTCCACGTCAATCTTATGGCGTTGTACTCTGTAGGAGGTTAGATCGAAAACTGGACAGCGAATTGCACATTTTTGCCCTTTATCAAATCTTTTTGAATTTTTTGTTTTGTTTTTCTATTTATATTTTTTGGGGTGGGTGATTCTGGGCTCTCGGATAAATTATGACGTAACACTTAAAATGCCAAACACATGCAGTCTGAGGTTTGCCGTTTGAATCTGTGATGGCTTCTCACATTCCTCCCGTGCTCGCGTGAGTTTTCTCTGCATACTTTGGCTTCCTTCAACATTCTCCTTTCCCAAAAATGCACGTTTGCCCAATTGAAGTTTCTGAACTGCTCAACAGTGTGAGCGGTCATTGATATGTGACCAGTGATTGGCTGCCGGCAAGTCCAAGGGTGTACCCCGCCCTCTTGCCAAAGTAGTTGTCTCTGCGCCAATGGACGTTCAATTGCTCGCAGAGAACATGAGAATAGTCTGCTTTTTTTTTTACCTCAGGAAATGTTGCGACTCTATTGAAGGAAATATGTGAGCTAGTGTATTACTCATTCTAATTCCTCAAGGGGAAATTCAACAAAGCCAGGAGATTTTGTGGTACACAATTTTTAATTTATGATTGTTGGATTTAAGATAGTATAACGTGTTGCGCAATCAGGACAAAGATATCTGTTCTGATACTGTAATCACGTTTCCTCTCCAAATTCTGCAGCACTGACTGCATCATGCACGAGAATTAGCATGCCTTCAATGGGTATTGAAACTTCTGCTGCATCCTATTTTGTAAAAATTCGTCCTAATCGTACACTCTGACTGCCCTTGGCCATTTGTGTGACATGTGTTGGATATGTTTCATGATTTTGTTTTTCTTTTCAGCCAAGTCCTCTTATCCAAAGAAGACGCAAGCTGGTTCAGCCAAAACCACCGCGACCACCTCATACTCCACCGTCCCCCCTCGCTCTCGCCCGCCGAAGGACGCAGAGGCGCAAAGCAGAGGCGCCAACGCTCGGACAAGCCGGAAACCCGAAGCCGATTCTCAGAAGGCTTCCGCAGACGTTCCCGGCCAGCCGGAGGACTTCAACTCTTCGGACGCCCATGGGAGCTCTCCTCAAGTTTCCCTCCCCGAAGTTCAGGAGCCTCCCGTTGCTTCTCAAGCCGCCCCGGAGGACAAAGTTCCCTTGGACGAGTCTTCCGTGAGCTCAGAGACCCTGCGGGATGTATCCCCCGAGCCCGCCGTCCACTCCCCCCGCATCAACACTTCCACGGAGGACACTTCCTTCGCAAAAGGGGACGCTGAGGGCGACTCCCAGCGGGAGAAAGAAGCGAGGACGAAAGGGGAAGGAGGAGCGGCGCCAGAGGAAAACGTAGCGCCTGCCGAGGAGACGCACAGCAGGTTATTCTTTTTCTTTTTCCATTCCACCTTTTTTCATTTTTTTATTGTTACTCTTCTAAATTGAACACCCAAATACATTTAAAAAAATCATTATATGACATTTTTTATATTTAAAAAGTATTTCTTAAAAAATGAAATGCTTTTTTTTTTTTTTTTTTTTTTTTTTTAAAAATACAGACATGCAGTGAACAAAAAAAAATAAATGCAGTACTTTTGAGGTCGTCGTGCCACCTTCCAACTGTGGCATATTAAGATGCTGATTATCGCACGGGGGTGATCTTTCGATTGTCCAAAATGAGGGCCACTCTAATATGTGCATTTCTACCGAATTAAGCCAACTCGAGGGAGCTAATATTTCCAATTTTATGTCGCCTATTTCGCCAGTGACTCAAGCCCGGCCGACGCGGACGCCGTCAAATCGCAGGGCGGCAGCGTCAACATCCATCAGATTGTGGTGACCGTAATCCCCGACCGGCCGACGGAGACCCAAGCCAGCGACTCTGACTCGGATGGACCCATCCTGTACCGCGATGATGAGGAGGAAGATGAAGAAGAGGAGGACGACGAGTACCTTAACAGTACGGCACTTCTTCAGCCATCAATGAATGTCTAAGGATGCGGTTGGACTGAGCACCTTTCCCGACAGGTTCCTTGGCCAGCAAGATTCGGCGACGGGACACCCTCAACATCAAACTGGGCAACCGACCCAGCAAGACGGAGCTGGAGGAGAAAAACATACTGCCGCGCAGCTCCGAGACGGAGAGACACGAGCTACGCCAGCAAATCGGATCCAAACTTGTCAGGTGGGGGGGGGGGGGCACGCCTGCGTCCGTCGCGCGCTCGACTTGCCGTGAGAGCGCCTCGAGTGATTGATCTCAGGATGAAGTCGTCCTATTATCCGCCGATGTATTGATACGTGCGTGCAGTAAATCTGTTTGGGTGAAAAACAAGATTTCTCATTTCAGGCGTTTGAGCCAAAGACCAACCACAGAGGAGCTGGAGCAGCGGAACATCCTCAGACGTAGGTCGTCATCATAAACATGGCTCAATTGTGTATTGATAGCAATTACGGCTGCAAATCATATTTCGCCGCAATAGTTTCAAAGTCACAAAGCTAAGTAGGTGTGAAATGACCGCACTGTTTTATCTGCCTACAGAGAAGAACGAAGTGGAGGAGCACGAAGCCAAGCAGGAGATCAAGCGAAAACTCTCCAGAAAGGTAAGAGAATAAAGCAGGGGGGAGCAAACTTTTGAGATCAAGGGCCACTTTGGATTTTTCAAATGGGCGGATATTCATAAATAGCCCATCTTAAAACATGAGGACTAAAACGGTCCTTTTGTGCAGCTTAGCGTGCGGCCAACGGTCGCGGAGCTGATTGCTCGGAGAATCCTGCGTTTCAACGAGTACGTGGAGGTCACGGACGCCAAGGACTACGACCGGCGGGCGGATAAGCCGTGGACGCGACTCACTCCCGCTGACAAGGTGTGGCAAACGGCGTGATTTTTTTATTCTCGCTCTCTCTCCACACAATCTTGTTTATGCCTTGTATGGACTCCTCACACTGATTACAGCTCACCAAAAGCAAATCCTACCTTTGTATTTGGAGTGCTGTGGTCATGCCTCAAGCCTGCCCTCTGCTGGTCAAATCAAGCGCTACATTAGCCAGCCCTCCAGTTTCAGATAGTTTGTCCTCAAGTGTGTCACGGGTGGCTTTGGCTGACCAGTATGGACACTGGAAAACATGCAAAAAAAAAATACAGAGCAGGGCTTTACAAACCTTAGTACTGCGAGGCACATGTGCTAACCGCTACATTACTGTCGCGGGTTCACTTGAGGACCTTGAATGTGCGTTCGCCCGGCTCACGGACGAGGCCGGTCAACCGGCGAAGTGGTCGTTTCGCGCTTTGCAGAGCTTTTTCATTTTAGCGTGTGTTGTGTGTCCACTGTGTAGGCGGCCATCCGCAAGGAGCTGAATGAGTTCAAGAGCACGGAGATGGAGGTGCACGAGGGCAGCAAACATTTAACCAGGTACACCCGGGAGTTCTGTCGGCGGAATCTGCAATGCTGTCGTGCTGCGGCAAAAATATGTTATATTGGTGTTGAGTTAAATCCGTGATCACGACCGGTTGCATTACGTTGCAATAAATTAAAAAATGCTTTTATTCTAATTGAATACACTGATTTTGTAATTTAATTAAATTCCAGTAGCCGACCTAATTTTTTTTTCATTTTATTTGATTGCTAATTTCAAATGTCATTACATTCCAGTCATTATTTTTCCTTTTAATTGAATTCCTATATTTAAATTTGAATTTTTTTTTACATGTATACTTTTTCTTTTTGTAACTGTACTGATTTCTCATCCGTTTCTATTTCAATATTTTCCCATATTGACATGTATTATATTAAATTAATTACATTCCAAAACTTCAACTATATTTATTCATTTTTCTCATACACTTAAAATGACATTATTATTTCTTTAAAATGTGATTATTTTAATAATACCTTCACACGGCTGCTTGAATGCATTCGTAGGGAATAGCACTTTGAGAAAATATTTTGTCTCATCAACGTGATCGCAGCTTGCCTCTCTCCCGTGGACTTCCAGTATATTTCAAAAGAAATCCCTCGGGAATCCGTGGGACACGTTTTCAAATGTTTTATTTGCATTTTCAGATTCCATCGGCCTTAACGCGAACACGGCGTCGAAAGAGGACAAGTCCACCCCGCCATCAAACCTGCTGCTGTTAAGTCCGTCTTAGCGCCCCACCCGGTCTACTTACTTGCGCATTGACAACATACGCAGGTTTGTCTTAAGGGCCTGCGCTGTCCGTATGGCCCTCTGGTGGAACTTGATTGCACATATTGTACCTATAACTCGGAAAAGTGGTGGCTCGCTAAGAGTGATTTATTTATTATACAGTGCGAAGAGGACTTGCTGGAAAATGTTTTTGTTTTTTTTTTTTGTTCTTGTTTTTCTCGTCCCTCTGAGATGTGTCAAATAGAGCGTTATTACAAGTATGAAATGTGGCTCAAGAGAACTATAGCTTCCGTGCAAAAGTTGTGCTTTGTTCTGACCTGGCCCGACCCGGGCCGCCAACCAATGGACCGTCAGCAGCTGTTGATATGTTCAATGTTCAAATGATCAGGCCACTAGAGGGCATTATGTCATAAGCACATTTTACTTGCTGTGGGATGCCGTGGAGCCTGGAACCAAGGCCAGGAGACCTCTGTTTAAAAAAAAAAAAAAAAGAAAACATCCCTCAAGTGCTCAAAACGTACTTTAAAATGTGCACTTTTTAGGCTTTTAAATCGGTTTCAATCATTTTCGCTTTATTCAGAGTGTCTTGGTGCCACAAAGCTATTCACATTAAAAAAAAACAAACAGGCACCACAGCGATCTATTCCCCACACAATCTTGTTTATGCCTTGTATGGACTCCTCACACTGATTACAGCTCACCAAAAGCAAATCCTACCTTTGTATTTGGAGTGCTGTGGTCATGCCTCAAGCCAAATAGCATTCTTTTCCCATTTCACTTTCTGCAAAAAAAATAAAAAAATAATAATGTTTGTACCCCTTTTGACATTGCAGTCGGTGTTTTGCTGCACGTTTTATCGCAGTTGTTAAAAATGTTTAAGTCACCTTGCACTCGGCGCACATTTCCTTTCACCAAGCGACGGCAGGCTCAGTTGAAATAAGAAGTCTCTGCTCTGCTGTTGACATCCCTCAACTGATTTTTTTTTTTTTTTTTTTTTGGAAATGGTGACCATTTTGTTTTTCTATGACTTGTTTTGGTTTTGCTAACATGCCAAGAATCTAAATGATCTCGATGCTAACCTGCTGACATCCCTGATTTTTATTTATTTTTTGGTTCTGTTACAATTGTCAAGTTACAATATGCCATTTTAGGAGAGATGGCGATGCGGAGGTGGACTCAACCGCTAAAATTAGGATTTCACTAGCCGAGCTAAAATTTAGCGCACTTTTTGCTTTTACATTTTCTTGTGAAACTGGACAGAATCAGTTCACTCACGAGCTTGTCTCGCCATTCCAACTCTACGCTAAGCTAAGCACAGCGAAAACCAAAGTGAAGCCTATCACTTCAAATTGTGAATGACCGCAAGTGAATCTATATCGTTCGGTGGCCTTGGTTTGAAGAAATCAGACTTTTGTAAAGACGACCACAATCCGCTCCATTTTTGTCCTTTTGTATTTAAACTCCCAAATTTGTTGGACATTAGCGTCAATGGGATTCATTTCTCACTGTGTGAACGTATCTGCGAGGAGTAAACCTCACCTATTATATGTGCAAACAAACTCTTGGAATATCTCAAAAGAAGGCAAATAGGAAGTTTTTGTCATGTTCCTGCAAGCGTAGTCATGAGATTGAACGGAATTGTTGGTCTCGCCCAGAGTGTGTGTGTGTGTGTGTGTGTGTGTGTGTGAGATGGCGATGTGGAGGTGCACACAACCGCTAAAATTAGTATCTCACTAGCCGAGCTAAAATTCAGTGCACTTTTTGCTTTTACATTTTCTTGTGAAACTGGACAGAATCAGTGTGTGTGTGTGTGTGTGTGTGTGTTGCTGCTGCTTCATTGTGTGTACACGTAACATGCCATGTACAGTCTAACAACAGTATTCCTTCTTTTCCATGTGTCTGATATTCTGTATATTGATTATTTTGTACAAAAATGTACATGGAGCATGTGCATACACAGAGTCCATTTTATGCCGCAATACAGAAAACAATGGGATTCATTTCTCACTGTGTGAACGTATCTGCTAGGAGTAAACCTCACCTCTTATATGTGCAAACAAACTCTTGGAATATCTCGAAATAAGGCAAATAGGAAGTTTCTGTCATGTTCCTGCAAGCGTAGTCATGAGATTGAATTGTTGGTCTCGCCCGGAGTGTGTGTGTGTGTGTGTGTGTGTGTGTGTGTGTGTGTGTGTGTGTGTGTGTGCGTGTGTGTGTGTGTGTGTGTGTGTGTTGCTGCCGCTTCATTGTGTGTACACGTAACATGCCATGTACAGTCTAACAACAGTATTCCTTCTTTTCCATGTGTCTATTCTGTATATTGATTATTTTGTACAAAAATGTACATGGAGCATGTGCATACACAGAGTCCATTTTATGCCGCAATACAGAAAATGGCGTAAATGTTTGAAACCATTGACGTGTTTGTCTTTATTCAATTTGTGATGCAGCTTGTTTGATGAGTGCTCGGTTGCATCCGAGTTCCTCCCTTTGGTGAAAGTTAAAGGACAAACCCAATGAGCTTGAGCTCATTGCCCCGAACTGCCCCCGTCAATGAAACGGACCGACGGCTCGTTAAATCTCTTCCGCTTGAAGCCAAAGTGAGCTTGTCAGCCAGCTCGCTGACTTTCGCGTTCATCAAAGTGTCGTCGGTGCGTTAGCGTGTCATTTGAAAGGTGAAGCAGCTAGCAGGAAATGAGCCTGGCTTCATTTTACAGTGGACACTCCAAAAGCGGAGGAAAAATGACATCCAAGTTGCTGTTATTTTCAAACTAATTTTCCCGCAGGAAGTACCGGCAACGTGAAATGATTTTGTGTTTGCCAGGATCAAACCGTGGCCGCGGTAAAATGGTTTCAACTGCACTCTTAACATTATGAATCACATTCAGCGACGTGCACCACCGTACCATCAAATTTATTTAAAAAAAAAATTATTAATATGAATTATATTAAAATGCATTTTGAATGTTTATCCATTTTTGCGGTTGAAATTTTTTTACAAATTTATTAATTCCAACCCGCATGAATCTGACTCAAAGTGGACACTTGGACGTTGTTTTCAGTCGGGTAATTTTTCAAAAGGGTCATGTTGGTCAGAGTCCCACTTTAAAGCAAAGTTTTGGTAGATAAGACTCGATTTTGGTTTCAGCAAAAGTAGTTTTATTTATTTCCCCACATGACCATTAAAGCATTGAATTTCCGACTTCTTTTTGGAAGTCATGCCGGAGGCAATTTGTGCCTTAATGGGGTTGTTATGGAACAGGAGGACAAATCCACATCAAGGTCAGAAACTCATTTTGTGGCAAACGCATGGCTCACTTTTTCAATTTTATTTATTTATTTTAAACCATTGCAGGTCTTCCGCCTGTGCTCAAGCTGAGGATGATAAATATCGCATCGTAAACACGCACTCATTGAATTTACAGTGTCGAGCTTTTGAGAAGCAGTTCACCTCCTCGGGGGAGTCGGCCGGGGCCCGTAAAAAAACACCCAACGGCAAGTTTGGTTACGGGATGACAAGGTAGTTTCCGCACCGGAGGCGTCGGCCACGATCGGGTCGTTATCCCAAATGCGAAGGCGTGCAAATGAATCCGTAAGGCGCCTTGAAGCTGATTAGGAGACGCGACGTGTGGCATGTTTGATATTCCAAAGGTGATGAAACGTGCTTTGCAAGTTTTCTCTGGTGCTGTCGTTTGTCGATTTTTGTCCAATCCATGTCACTGGTTCACTTTTGAAACGTATTCAATGTGAAGTAATGCGGTGAAATAATGCAAATTAACTATTTGAATATGAAATTTTTAGATCAATATATAACGATAGGGGTGGCACGGTGGTCACAACGTGGAGTTCGTGGGTTTGATTCCGGGGTGTGGCCTTACTGTTGTGGAGTTTGCATGTTCTCCCCGTGCCTGGGTGGGTTTTCTCCAGGTACTCCGGATGCCTCCCACATCCCAAAAACATGCCTACACCCGTGCAGGACGCTGCTCAAACATTTTTAAATTGATATTTTCTTGTACAGGTATCTGTTACCATTATTATATATATATATATATATATATAAATAAAATAATAATTTGCCTCCTTTCCAATCAAATAAGCTCCAGCAAAGCTACTCATTGAACAATTTACGATCTGGAAATGCACTGAGAGCTGTTCAGTGTAGTTCTTATTTCACTTTACAGCGGCACCTGCAGATTCACCTAGTCACTGATTTATTTATTTTTTTGTCAGTATTTTGGGGGGCTAACCCGCTTTTCTCATCGAAAATGTATATTTGTGGTTTATCACTGCATATTCAAAAAGTCCCCCAACCAGATGCATTCGCGAGCGATGGCTAAAGAGGGGAAAACACAACAAGCAACAGTGGAGGACAAACAGATTGCGAGGCGGTGGGTGGCAAAGATGATGATTGCAATGACTCAGCACATGTTCATTTTTTTTTTCCCCGAATTGTGATTAGGTAATCCTTGGCAAGTGCTTATATCTCAGTTGGGCCCAATTGGGCACACGCTATTGAAAACTCAATTCTGAGGCAAACGCCTCATATACAGTATAAGTGTGTGTGTGTGTGTGTGTGTGTGTGTGTGTGTGTGTG